TGCCGGGGCCTTGTACGCGGGCAGGAGGCCTGCGGGAGCCGGGGGCCGGGCCCCGCGTTTCGGTGCTTCCTGTCACGGACGCCCCGAGGTCCGCGGGGCTCGGGTTGAGGCGGTGGCCAGCGCTGCTGCTGCCTTTGGCCCGGCCTGCGATTCCCCCGCCCGGCTGCGGGATGATTCCTGCTCGTCCTCGGCCAAGGGACCTCCCCAGCGGTCAAAGCCACCCCGGGCTGAAGGAGCCCGAGTGGGAGACTGAGCTGGCCCTGGAGCAGCTGGTGCGGTGCTTTCCTGTGCGATAGCCTCTTCCTGCTGCACGGCTGTAGGGTGGGCGTGTGTCCAGGTACCTGAGTACATCTCTCCCTCTCAGCCCTTGCTGCAGCCCTTGGTAAGAGTCATCAGACCAAAGGTCCATCTGCCCAGCAGCCTGGCTTTGCCACTAGCTAATAAGCTGATGCCTAAAATAAATTTTGAGAGCAACATAAGCTACTGATGTCATTCTGTGTAAACTATTGCTCACACATCCTTTGTGTTTAGTAGCCTTGAATGAATTCCCATCGATGGAAGAAGGATCTAGTTACTTTTTGAAGTGCTGTGAATTTTTAGCATCCATAACATCCAATGGAAAAGAATTGCAGAGCTTAATGACAGGTTAACGGGCTGTAAAGATCCACCTTCTTTGGTTTGTTTGAAACCGCTACCTGTTGGCTTCATGCAAGTCTTTTGGTTTTCCTACCGGAAAAGAAAGTAAAAATGGGTTGTCCTGCAATTCCTCATCTATAGGGTTTGTTATACTGTCTCTCCTCATTTCAGCCACTCGCACATACCAGTCTCTTTTCTGTTTTTAACTGCTGCATCTATAGAACTGAAGAATATTCTTGATCATCCTTGTTGCCTTTATTTGTACATATTCCTACTATATCCCTTTTTAGTTGGAGGGACAAGAGTGACACATAGTATTCGAGATGCAAATGAGGCATGCATTTATACAATGACATAATGATGCTTAGTTTTCTGCTGCTTTCCTAATAAATCCTGTTATCACTTTTATTTCCCTGACTGCTTCTTGAGCCTTGGGCAGATGTTTTCATGGGTTATCCTCAGATAATCCCAAGATCTTATTTCTGAGTGATAACGTTATCAGCTCAGAGAATGTCATTGTGTATGGAAAGTCAGGATTGGTTTGGGTTTTTTTTCCTCCTTCTTTTGCCGCGTGCGTTGCTTTACATTTACCTACTCTGAATTTCACCTTTACCTCTCAGCTGCTCTGTATCAGGAGGTCTTTCAGCAACCCCCCTCCCCGCCATAAACCCTATCTTTACTACCTTGGGGCAATTTAGTATTGCTAGCAAACTCCTTAAAGCACCGCTTGAATATAGCATACGCCTGCAAGAAGCACAGCATTCCTTGGAAACACCGGTTGGTCTTATTGCATGCATGCTTTGCAGTGCTTACATTTGTTTCCAGCTCTTAATGGCTTTGGAGAGAACCTACAAAAGAAGGAGGCTTGGAGTACACTTCTGCCACAAGAGCAATGCGTGTGCAATAGGATTTCATTCATCCTCTTGCGGGCTTCTTGGATAAGCACAGGCAGCGTGCCAGGTGAATTGTTGTAGGTGCATATGCCTGGCACCCCTGCAGTAAAACACTGGCTACCAGCCCAACTTGTAAAACAGGCATTAGTTAATCTTCTTGCACAAACACAGTGCACACAAACAGTTGTAGAGTCATTTCTTAATTGCACAGGAACTGACTAGTCCCATCACAAGATGGAGGAGAGTGGTTTTATCTCAAGGTGGAATAGCAGCAGTCTGCTCCGTGAATCCACTCCATGGACTGGGGATCAAATTTTAACAAAGCTGACTCAGCCGTTTCTTCTAAGGTGGTTAAGTGAAGCGAAGTCTGATCGGTGATTACTACAAAAAGCCTTTATAGTCTTGTCAGACTGTAAATAAAATAGAACAATTTTGTGTTCTCGTGAACATGGAAGATAGCTGATAATTTCTCCAGTGAAGCTTATACTGGTCCACTGTATTTAAACAGAACAACAAACCCAATAACAAGCGTGCCAACAGCCTGAGTCACTC